CGGTACAGGGATGCTGTTCCCTGTTGCCTTTGTGCTGTTCTGCCTGACATGCTGTGACTAGAAAATGCTGGCAATTTCGAACTAGAGAAGAGTATTTCACATCGGGGTTTTAATGTGAGTTATGGACCAGAAGGCAAAAGCTGGATCCTGAACTGTCAGTGTCTAATGGGAGATAACAAAGATCTCCTCAAAGTGGTGCTGGTACTAAGTACTTCTTTGCTAGCAAAGGAGGCATCAAAAAGGGGTCAAACTCTACCTTGGTGTAGTGAGACATTGACAACTTGGGAGATGAGAAGTGGTGCAGTGAGTTTTTTCTCAATGTTTTTTTCAATATTATTTTCTACGTGCTTTTTGTTTAAGACCTCTCTTTAAAAAAAATATCAAGAGATCAAGAATTCTGCTAATATTCTGTGGCTGACCACACAGATCTTGTGCAGTCTCCAAAAGCTCTCCTCCTGCATCCCATAATGTCCCATTCGCCCAGGCAGCAACCCATCCCAGTCCCTAAGGTGCTCTGCTGTTGACTCACCTGGGTGAGTTTCATGCCTGGGGCTGTTTCCCCTCTGAGCCAGCCCTGGGAGGGACCAAGACAGGATGTCCCTGCTTCTGAGTACTTATTTCTGGTCCCCACCTGCTATTGTGCCCTTGTTCTCCTTTGGGCTGGGGAAGATGAGCCTTTGATGGCCCTGGGATGGACCTAGGAGACTTTGGGACAGGGTATTATTTGGGCTCCCTCTCCTGCTGTTGTCTCTCTGTGGTCCTTTGTGGGTATGCAGATAGGCTTTTATCACATAACCTAACAAGTGCAGTGAGAATACCTTGCATTTGTAGGTGAATTTGTAAAAAAAGTATTTCCTGAATGTGTTAAGAATTGCTTTAGATTAGCCCATTGAACTGATGTGCTTTTATCCTCCTCTATTAATTGCCAAATTGGCAAGAGACCAGGGACATTCTTCAGATTGTGAGTTTACAATACAAAAAAGATCTACCCTGAGGAAAAGAAGGAAAAAAAATAAAAAAAAGCTCTTTCTGTTCCTTGTTTCTCAAATGTGAGGAAACAATAGAGACAATCACAATGGATTGATCCTGCTATATTTGATAATATGTAGACAAAAGATTAAGCTCTGCTCTCCTTCATGACCATTTAATCACATTGGATGCACTCCTACAGTCTGGAGGAACTTGCCCCTTCTTCTGAACCTGCCCCTCTCTGCTCTTGGCCTGGGCACATCTTCTCACATTTTCCCTGCACTGCACATTACTGGGTGTTGGCAGGGGTGTCTTGTTGAGGACATGAGTATATGGAGCAAGGGGAAGGAGGTAGGAAAGTGGCAGGAGAAATCCAGACCACACATAAGACCTTAAGCATTCAGTCACTTAAGGTAGCTTAACCTGCTGCCAGGATAGCTGCCCCAGGCACAGTTGTACGAACACTGTGCTTACACTGTACTTACACTCTGTTTCACTCCAGGCTGTATTTAAACTCTGTTTAACTCTCAGGGGACCATAGCTAGGACAAGGGCTGGGCAAGTAATTGAGTTCTCCATACCTGAAGTCCCCAGAAATTGTTTCTGGGTTGAGGCCAAATAGCCCGTTCATGGATATACTAATGCCAAGGTCACACTGAGGTGTGTCGATAAGGACTGTGGCTGGTATTCCACTCCTTACTTTTAACAGCTTGCTTTAATTATCGCAAATAGTATCAGGAGGTAAAACATTCCCAACAGCTGAGGTTGGGAGCCCTGCGTGGTTTCCCACACCAGCAGCTGCGTCATCATCATCCCTGCCCTTCCCACTTCCTGGCACCTTGGCAAATCCCTATGGAAAGCCTTTTGTAAGGATTTATGAATATACGTGAGCAGAGCGAGATGCAAGGATGGTCTGAGATGTGGTGCAAGATGCTGGGAAGAGAGAAAGTACCGATATCTAGGTTGGATCTACCTTGTGTTTTAATAGAGGAAAAAAATGGTCTAAGTCACAGCGAACATGATGAAAGCATTTTCCGTTCAGTTCAGCCTTCCCTTCCCCCAGGCCCTAAATCACATTTATAGTCCCCAGAGCCTTTCTGTAAGGTTGTATATATGGGGGTTTTTTTCTATCATGAGTAGCCATAGGAAACATGAGCATTCATAGGAAACTGTAAATAGTGAGTATTAAAATAGAGTAATAGAGTATCTGCTGTATATTTCCACACTGGAAAAGGGCCTTGGGAGTTCTTCTGGTTTCTCACCTTCCCATCACGTGCTATAAAAGACGGGTTGAATTAGGAGTTAGGAGACATTGCAGTCCACTGCATAAACACTGCATTTTTTTTCTATTTTTTTTCTTTTTTTTTTCTTTTTCCAAATTCTAAATATAAGTTTAACCTAAGTTCTGTTAAAAGAAAAAAAAATCTGGTGAAATGAGTGTTTTCTTTGGAAGCCAGAACTGTTTCTGTTATGAACAATACACCATTTTATAGGCTTTTCCAAGAAAGGCTGGATAATCCCCCTCCCTCCTCCACTTAAAAAAAATAATAGAAGAGCAGGAGCTGTGTTGACAAATACTGACTTGGCCCAGTCTTAACAGCAGTAGGGGTTCAACCCTGCAGCATCGCAGCGCTTGAATTATCCAGTCCATAAATGGAGAATCAATCTGCTTCTGGGATGTGGCATATTTTGGGGGAGTTTAGAGGCCGTGTTTTTGTTTATACGAACAACTACATCCAGGCTAGTAAAGCAAAGGCGTTCAGGGCCGCTCTCTGGCACAGAGAGCGACAGCATCCCTGCTGCCTATTGGGCTGTGATTCCCAAATTGTACCTGGGAATAACCTGGAAGGTTGCTGGGTAGCCCCAAAATTTCTTTCTAAAAAGTTAAAGCTAGTGCAGGGTTGTTCCCTGGTGCTGTTTAATTTCCTGGTGCAGGCAGACCCGAGCAGCCGGGATTAATAAAGCCTTTTGTTATCCAGTCTGACCCACTTGACAGCCCTTGAGCTCCTGTAAATGCATGTGTAAATGCATTTTAAAATAAATCTGGAGGCATTTGGCAAACAGCAGCTCATTGATCGGCACACACCACCAGTCCTACCCTGCCAGTGAGAAACCTGAAGCAGAGCTAAGGCTTTAGACCATAGTCTGAGCCTTCGGATGTGGTTTTACAAGACTCGGTGAATATTTACACACCACTATGAAAACCCGGGCCTGTGCTGTCTCCAAGACGCCATGTCAAACCCCTTGGAAAAGCGGTTTGGCCTTGGGCAGCTCCTCGTGGATCCCCAGGAGAAAAGCCAGGGATGCTGTGCCGAGCCCAGACCCATGGCCACCACATGCACTTCGCCTGTGTTCACCTCAGCTTTGGGGGGTGAACTGAGGGGATCCTGCACAGAATGGGTTAAAATGAGGGGTTTTGACAGGTGACAGTTGCAGTTTTGCTCTTTGTTTGCTGGTCTGAAGCCTTCGGCAGTAGAATAGGCTGAGTACTAGAAGTGAGTGAGACTTCTCTTGCTGGGCTTTTGCTTGTTTGTAAATTGCACATACTCTGACACAGATGCTTCTGTATTCTTTTTCTTTTTTTTTCTTTTAATCAAAAGAGTGTTATTTAAGCAGTGGAAATTTGGGGGCTTTTTGTAAACATCCAAAGTTTTAAAAACCACAACACTTTTTTTCTTTCCACAATACAATGGCATCATGGGAGGAAAGGATTCATTTTTTGGCTTTTAAAAACTTGTTTAAATCACTGCTGCCAGGCAGGGGACACCAGGAGGGGGGCGCAAAGCAGCTTCGGGTCCCTCTGTATCCCCCACCTCATTGAGGTGAAGCAGCTCCCAGACACTCTGCCTGGCTCAGGATCCCACAGGAACTCCCTGAAATCGCAGGCTGCCCTCACCTTGGCAGGAAAAACAGCAATAATCCATGTGAAACAAAGGCCATTTATACTTCAATTTCCCCCCGTCTGTCCCAGGATGTATGAGCTGTTCTTGCTTGGCTTTCTCTGAATCACGAGTCCAACCCTGATCCTTAAGAAATTAAGCCGGCTGGGGGGAGGAAGAGAAAGGAACCAATTCCTCTTCCTCCCTGTCCTGCTCCTCCCTCCTTTGCCAGGCGCTTTTTGTTCGGCTGCTTTGAGTTATGAATACTTTGCTGTGTATCTTATGGCTATCAAGGTCAGCTTAAGGGAAGGAGGTGAGTCACTGCCATTCAAATGGCTACAAGCTGTAATTTAAATAAGGCTAGAGCGGCCAGGGCATATTCAGTAGAAAAGGGACTCAATGTCCACAGGTCGATGCTCTGCCCTTTCTGAAATGTCACCCTGAAACTTCTCAGTATGCAAATACCACAGCAGAAATTGCAGCTGGGGCTGCTGTGTGAAGGGCTCTGAGCTGATCACAAGTTTTGGGATGGGCAGAGAAAAGCAGATAAATTAGGCTGTGAGGAATGCGAAAAACTTTCTGACAATAATTTTTCTTTCTTTTTGTGTATGTGTGTGTGTGTCTTCAGGCTGCAAACTGTTTTCCTTAGCTTAAATGGACATCAAAGTACATCTCTCTGCTGCAGTGTACATCCCCGGATGATCTGATCCTTCATGAACTAACGTCAAAGAAAAAAAAAATAGCCACCCTCTTCTGTCTACAGTTTGATTTCTTTAATTTATGGCTTGCTCTCCTGCAGAAAGCCTATATTTTAGTGTTGGTATTGCTTCCCTCTAAATCTTCTGGTACACAGAAGGACAAAGATCTGTCTTCATTGAATCCTTGATGGGAGCAGTTAGCAGCAGGTCACAAAGAGGTGGAAGAGACTTGGAAGCACTGTGAGAAGGTGAAAGGAAATACCCAACTTTGCCTTTTTTAAGCCCATTTGGAGGAAATGAAGCTTCTTCCCATTTGGATGGAAGTACTGGAGTTGGTATGTTCAGCCTAAGCTCGAGGAGGTAACTGGCAGGTGCCTGCAGCACCCTTTCCTCTTTGCCTTACGTTCGACCCTACATTGTACTTCGTCAGCAGCGACAGCAGAACCCAAGCAGGAAACATGGTCGTCGTAAGGAGGAGGAACGTGAAAGTGTTTACCTTCGCCTTTTTGCTCATCACGGTAACGTCATTTCTGCTGAACTACACCCACCAGGTGACCACAACCACCTGGGATCTGAGACATCTCATCATGCAGTTTTCAGAGCAAGTCCAGAAACTCTTCAAGTACCCCAGGAGACCGTGCAGCTGTCGCACCTGCATTTCTGAGCTGGGACATTCCCTCTGGTTCGATCAGAGGTTTAATTCAACTATGCAACCTCTCCTGACCTCACAAAATGCCTTGATCCCAGAAGACAGCTACAGGTGGTGGCTGGTAAGTGGGAGGCGTGGGTACAGCTCGGTGTTTGTGCGATGGTTGTGGTGTCAGGGTGCGAGTTATGCCGAGGAGATAGCGAGAAACAGTTCCTGCCAAAAGCATTTGCTGCCGCAGCTGATGGGGCAGGCAGAGGTGGAAGGAAGTGGGTGTTTGTGCTGCCGTTCAGCTCACCAGCACTCAGAGTGCACCTTCCCTTGCTCTGAGCTAGAAAAGTCCCTGGCAGAGTTAGGTGGTGAATCTAGAATTCGTAAATGTCAATATTGGCTTTTTCTCTCCCTTCTCTTCGAAAGGCTAGGTTTCATAAACTAGCTTGTTTTGCTTCAGATGGTGAAAAGGGTTTTTACCGTCCATTGAGATAGGAAAGAAAACTGGTTGTGAAGTGTGTAATTCTCCT